GCAGATTTCGTACCCCCCCCCCTTTCCCTATCCCCCCCTCTCGTTCGGCCCGACTTATGCCTTGGCCAGGAAGGCAGACGCACCGATCCTGGGTCGAGGATGGGCCTGCGAGTATAGCCATTCGGTTGCCCCAGATTCGGGCGTTGGCAGAACTGGGTTTAGTGCCCCCTGGTTCAGTGATGTGTGCTGGGGGAGGCCCCCCCCCCGCCCCGTTCCACGAGCCGGAGCTGCTGCCGTCACCCGAAAAAGACACCATCTACAGGGTGATCTTGTAAGGGAAAATTGAAGATGGTCAGATATACTTATAAAACGGCCAAACATAGTCTTAAGTCGGGCCTGTCCCCCCACAGCGGGATTTTCGACGAAAAATAAACAATACCCTAAAAAATTAAAAAATAGTCCAACAATAGTCTGGAGACTATGTTTTGAGTACGTTTTGACATTGTTGGGGTATGTTTGGGGTATTTTTCAGTTCTCGTCGAAAATTCCCCTGTAGGGGGACAGGCCCGACATAAACATAGTCGGAGAATCGTCCCCAAACCATGTGTTTACTGCTTTTGAGTGCTCCTCCAGTAGAGGGACGTGCCTGGCTTAGAGTCAGGGATCTTCTGACCCGGGTCAATCCAGAACCGGGTCAGTGAGGCCTTGCAGAATCCTGCCAGATCCTGCAAGATCCTGAACCCAAGCCCGGGTCGATGCGAAGGATCCTGTAAGATCCTGCACCCAAACCCGGATCAATGCGACCCTGGCCCTGCAGGATCCTGCAAGATCGGGCGCTCTGGCTGACCCCCGTTTGCATTGACCTCCGTCTCAAGGCTCCCGAGAGGTTATGACCACTCGGGAGCGGTCAAGAGGGGGGTGTCCAAGAGGGGGGGGTGCAAATCATGACTGGCAGCATGTGCGCGGCCCAACGGGGGGCCAGGGACGTAATGAAATGAGAAGAGGCGCCATGAAATCTGGGGAAAAATCATGGCCGCCGCCATCATATCCACTCTGGGGAAAAGTCATGGCCGCCGCCATCATATCCACCCCCCCTGGTCATCTAGAGGCCTCCTTGATGGGGTCCGAGTAGATGGGGTCGAAGGATCTCGCCACATCGCCGATACATCGGCGATGTATCGCCGATGCATTGGCGATGCATCGGCCATGCGCTGGCGAGGTCGGCGATGCATCGGGGACGTCGGTGTGGAGAAAAATGGGCCCCACATCGAGCCGCACCGCCGACGCGGCGCGATCCTCCGACCCCATCTGCCCCGACCCCAGATAGGAGGCCTAGATCATCACCCCCCTCTTCTCCGCCCCCGAACCACGAGGGGACCAGCTCAGGACCCACACCTCCGACGTCATGATTTGTTCATGACGTCGACCCCCAGAGGTCTGGACCCATTCCCCAGGACCGGTTTTTCGTCCTGAGTCGTTTTTTGACGGTCCCGAGGGCCGGTGAGGGCCCCCAAAGTCCAAAGATAATGAAAAACCTCCCGTCGTGATTGTTTCATGACTCGAGGGGGTCTGGGGAGGGGGACGCCTCGCCACGGAGCCGGCGGGCACCTCGCCGAGAGGGACCTCGGCGGCGGGCCCGTGGGATGGCGGCTGCGCCGGCTCGCAGAGGGTGGGCCGTCGGGCCCCTCTCTGCAGCGAGTGGGCGCCGCGGGGGGCCGCTGCACCCCCCCCCAAAAGCCTCTGAGCATCCCTTCACCGATCCCCCGCCCCTCCGTGGAGGAGGAGGAGGAGGAGGAAGAGGAGGAGGAGGAGGAGGAGGAGGAGGAGGAGGAGGAGGAGGGGGGGGGCCCCGCTGGGCCCCGCTGGCCGATTCACGGCCCCATAGATGGGGATGTGGGCTGTGCCCTGCGGGCTCTGAGGGGTGCAGCCCCAACCGGGGGCGGTCGGACGGTGGTCGGAGGCCTGGAGATGGGCACCGACACCAAAACAGGGGGTGGCCTCCACAGGGGGAAGATGATCCTGGATTTCGGTGTTGGTGGTAATATAGTTCGGTCACCCTGGAAGCCAGGATCTCACCACCACCACCGAGATTGGGATCCTCATCCCTCGGTGGAGGCACACCGCCGATCTTGGCCTGCGAGGTGGGGATCGGGATGGGGGTGGGGATCGGTCAAGCGATGCTGAGCCTCTCCTCCGTTGCCCTCGTCCTTTTGGACGCCCAAAATGGGTACGGAAAGAATGGGTACAATGCCCAACAACAAATGTTGTCCCAAACCAACAGCGGCCGCTGTTGGGCGGGCGGTCTTCTGTTTCAAATGGACGCAGACCGCGGCGGCGCGGACAGCGAATCCTGTTCAAAATGAACAGGAACTGCTAATGAGCATTGTACCCATTCTCTCCGTGCCCATCTCGTTCGTGCAGATCGGATGGTGGGGATCGGGATGGGGGTGGGGATGGGGCTGGGCATCGGTCAAGCGATGCCGAGCCCGCGGCCGCCGGCAGGCATCCCGAGGCTGGGAAGCCGCCGAGGACCGACGGAAACGTCCAAGTCCTCCTCCTCCCCCTCCTCGTCCTCCTTCCTCCTCTCCTCCTCCTCCTTCCTCTCCTCCCTCCTGCCTTCCTCCTCCTCCTCCTCCTCCTCTCCTCCTCCTCCTCCTCCTCCTCCTCCTCCTCCTCCTCCCTTTCCTCTCCTCCTCCTCCTCCTCCTCCTCCTCCTCCTCCTCCTCCTCCTCCTCCCCCTGCGTCTCCCTGCGTGACGAGCGCCGAGCCTCGAAGCCTGTCGTCCCCCCCCTGCGGAGCTCCCCCCCCGGCGCTGCTCCCGACCTCACGGCGACGTCGAGCATGGCCTTCAGCGCCACGAAGCCCGCCGTGCCCTTCTCCGCCTCTTGCAAGCAGGCCCTCGCGAGGAAACCAAAACGTACCGATACCGCTGCTGACCCGGGTCCATCCGAACGCGGGCCAGCCAGGCCTTGCAGAATCCTGCAAGATATCCTGCGAGATCCTGCGCCCGAGCCCAGGTAAAAATGCGAAGGGTCCTGCAAGATCCTGCAGGCTCGTGCGCCCAAGCCCGGGTCCATGCGGCCTTGGCCCTGCAGGATCCTGCAAGATCGGGCGCTCTGGCCGACCCCCGTTTGCATTGACCTCCGTCTCAAGGCTCCCGAGAGGTTATGACCACTCGGGAGCGGTCAAGAGGGGGGTGTCCAAGAGGGGGGGGTGCAAATCATGACTGGCAGCATGTGCGCGGCCCAACGGGGGGCCAGGGACGTAATGAAATGAGAAGAGGCGCCATGAAATCTGGGGAAAAATCAAGGCCGCCGCTGACCCCCGTTTGCAATGACCCTCGTCTCAAGGCTCCCGCTGCTCCCCGGACCTCTCCTGGGGGCGCGTTCGGACCAGGATTTCGAGGCGACCCCAGCGGTGGCAGCGAGGGCCTGCGAGGAAGCCGAAGGGGAAGCAAGAGAAAAAACGGCCAGGGGGTAGAGGTACAGGCAGCCCGTATAGCAAGGATGCGCGACAAGGATGCAAGGCCCTTGGAAGCCCATTTCGAGGTTTTCGAGCGGGGCGCGGCCAACGAAAGTGGCAGAGGATGCACCGAGGAGGCAAGGATGCAAGGGTATCCTTGAGAAGGTTGCCCATCCTTACTGTGCGGGTTGACTGTAGCAGTCGGCGGTGGACAAACCTCCCTTTCATAAACCTCCACTTGGTGAAAACGGCCTGGGACCGAAACCGACGGACCTGGACCCGCAAAAGTGACGGCCGCGACGCCCTCTCGCGAACCGAAAACGGCCAATTCCTTAATGGACGCGTCAGGGTAGGAGGTCTGTCCACCTCCGAAACAGGTGGCAGCGGAATCGCCATCCCTCGAGGACCAAGCACCGAGGAGGCAACCGGGCAGGCGCGGATGCAAGGGTACCCTCAAGTCGGGCGTGCCCCCCTGCAGAGGGGATGTTCGACGTGAAAGAAAACATACCCCAAAAATGCCCCAGAGAGGTAAAAAAATAGTCCCCAGACTGTTGTTGGACCATTCTTGTATTATTTTTGGGGTACTTTGTATTTTTCGTACCCTTGGGCAGGCTGCCCATCCTTACTATGCGGGTTGACTGTATGGGGTCCCCCTTCCTCCTCCGACCTCACCCACCACAGCGCCCCCTCGCCGCGCAGCCTCCGCAGGCGCTCGAGCGCCTCGTGATCCGGCGGCAGCCTGCGGGGGAGGAGGAGGAGGAGGAGGAGGAAACGAGGAAACGAGGAGGAGAAGGAGGAAACGAGGAATCGAGAGAGCATGAGCAGGGTGAGGAGGAGGAAGCGATGGTGGAGGAGGAGGAGGAGGAGGCAATGGGGAGGAGGAGGAGCAGGAGGAGGAGGAGGAGGAGGAGAGGAGGAGGGTGAGGAGGAGAAGGAGGCGATGGTGGAGGAGACGCACCGACTCCACGGGGCGCCTTCCGGCCAGCATCTCTCCAGGAGACCTGCCGCGGCGACGAGGCATCTCCAGGACGCGCGGCGGCACCGGCATCTCCTCCTCCCTCCCTCCTCCCTCCTCCCTCCTCCACCTACCCCTCCTCCCTCCTCCCTCCTCTCTCCTCCTCCTCCTCTCCCTCCCCCTCCCTCCTACCTCCTCCCTCCTACCTCCTCCCTCCTCCCTCCTCCCTCCTCCGTAGCCATTTTGGCTCAAGATGCTTGCACTTGGGGGTTCCGCGCCTCCGTGCCAGACTGGAAGCTGCTATTCCGCAGCAGTGCCAGGGCTGTTCAGCCCGACATCCGATTTCACGCTGCCCGTCGGTGGCAGGCTGCCCGCCGCCACCCGATAGCCCTCCGCATCATGGTACCGCAGCCGCCGCAGCCCAGCGTGCTGCGCGGCCCGCGCCGCCCGTTTTGGGCGTGCGGCCGCTGCGGGGCGAGCAGCAACTGGGCTTGCAGGATCAAGTGCACCTGCGGCAACGACGCACCCGCCCGAATCCGCAAGTCGGCGTGGGATAACCAGAAGATATGGGATGCCAAGCCGCCTGGGTCAGCTGGTGGCGGCGGCACAACGTTCCGCTCGAAGCAAGACATCGAGCTCTCCAAGCGCCTGGGGGAGATCGAGAAGCTGCTGCGCGGAGGGCAACATGATGCTAAAGAGAAGGAGAAAGCACCGTGGCAGAAAGTACCGAAAGCTGACCCTTCGGCCGCCACGGAGCCTCAAGCTGATGACAAAGAAGAAAATAAACGAGCCAAGCTTGCCGCTCAGCTCACCTGCTTCGAGGCGTCGCTCAAGACACTTCCGCAGGGCGAGTCAGGTGATGAGCTACGGAAATCGATGCAGACCAAGATCGACGCGATCAAGCAAGAACAGAAGCAGCTACGGCCTCCTGCCGTGGCGCACCGCCGTGCAACTCAGGACCTATACAAGGCGCAGGCGTCCTGCGAGCGGCTCACGAAAGATATCAGGGAGAAGGAGGAGCAGCTGGCGCGCTTGCAGGAGAGCATCACCCAGAAGCGCATGCAGCTGGAGTCCAAGAAGACGGAGGTCGTCGCGCTGCAGGCGGAGGTCCGCACCCACGCTGCTAGCGTTGGTGGCAAGGCCCCTGAGCAGCAGAATCCAGCGGACTTCCTCAACGTGCGGGAGGAAGAGCTCGACGATGAAGAGCTCAAGAAGTTCCTCAGCTCGCCGTCCTGGGCGAAGTTACGCGAGCACCTGTCGGCCAAGATACCTGCGGCTCCTGATGCACACATGGGTGATTCTGGCAAGCATGATGACTCTCGTGCGCCCGCAGATCCAGCCGGCTCTGAAGGTGGCGGGCTCAAGCGCGACTTCGACGAGGCTGAGCAGCAGACCCTATACACCCTTGGCAAGGACGGCAGTTTCGAGGAGTTTGCTGCCAAGCTCCGAGAGTTTGGAAAGAAGCCACGACTCGGGTAACCTGCTGGTATCAGGACTCAGGCTGCAGCAAGGAGAGGTGAAGCTGCCGCCGACGCCGCCCACGCAGGACACCTACACCTTCGCGACTTTCAATGCGAGCGGAAGGCGAAAGACACTCAAGCAGATGATACAGCGCACGACGGCGCACATCGTACTGATCCAGGAGACAGGCTTCACGGAGCCCTTGATCGAGTCACTGCACAGCTGGGCAAGCAATCGAAGTTGGAAAGTTGCTGCTATTCCAGCTCGCCCGACGAGTGGCATGGTCCCGCCAGGTGGCACTGCAGTTCTGGCTCGAGCTGATCTTGGGCTACGACACCCAGACGGCGGTCAGCTGGTATACGACCACCGTCTCCAGCACGTCTTGGTCGATTTGCCAGGATGGCCCAGCCTGTCTCTGTTGAACGCTTACTTGAAGGACTCGATCGGCGCGTCTGGAGAGAACACTGAAGTTCTTGCAGCTGCTGGTCGAATCATGGCGCGAACGGCTACGCCATGCATCATGGGGGGTGACTGGAACATGACGGGCCAGGACTTAGAGGACTCTGAGTTTCCACGAATGGCCTCGGTGGTGATTGCTATGCCTGATCAAGTCACATTCCGAGGTGGTACTGGCTGTTCCACGATAGACTACTTCTGTCTAAACAATGCAGCTCAACGAGGGTTTCGAGGAGTGCAGGCGCAAAGTAGTTGGCACAAGAAAGCTCATCGGCCAGTTCAACTAAAGATAGCAGACAACGGGTACGCAATCCAGCACTGCGTCTACACTGTCACGCAGAGGCTTCCCGCAGCACTGCCTCCTGGACCGCGCACGAAGCCAATTGACTGGACAGTTCATGCAGCCTTGGCAGATGAAACAGTACGTTTGGCCCAAGATCCTACGAGTGATGCTGCCGTCGCTTGGGCCGTCCTGACCAGAGTATATGGAAAGTTTGCAGTCACTGTTGCTGAATACATTGCTGCCAACACGTGCACCGAGCAAGAGAACAGCGGGGCGCACGGCAAGGACCTGGAACCTCGGTGGGCCAACGCTGAATACCCCATGAATCTTGAGCCGGACATCCAGGCGATAGGCAAGGGTTGGCAGTGGCCCAGAGAAGGTCTGATCACCATCCAGCAGTTGTTCTCCAATCCAGATAAGATGGCAGAATGTTCAGAAGAGATTGCTCAGTTCTTATTGGCACCGTACCCAGGTGCAGGCCTAAGTGGACGATTGGATAGTGCAGTCTCTCAGGGACGCCAGGAGATCAACCAGATACCACTCGACTTGCTACGCATTCAAACCTTCTTGGACGAGATCGACGATGACGTAGAGTTGGCAAAGAAAGGGCAGGCAAAAGATGCGAATGAGTCATGGGCAGAATGGTGCCGCATTGCTGCGAGTGGATGTGCTCGACCTCTACACCGTGTTTCCAAGGTCCGAGCTGTCCCCGCACCTGCTTATGCCATAGGAATACCTTCTGGGGACCCTGTGGTGATTGCGAAGCAGGAGGTGGCCCTCTACAGAAAGTCATGGGGCGCCAGCAATGCGGCAGCGGAAGCGTGGATCCCAGACAGAAGCAGCCGCCCACGACTTCAACCAGATCAAATACGAAGGATCTCGAAGTCATCTCCATCTACGACTTCGGCAAGCCTAGACAATTTTCACCCGAGGCATGCGGCGTTGCTGGACGACGAAGGATTAGAGGTGCTAGCTTCCATCTGGGAAGCGGCAGAGGCCATAGGGTCTTGCCGAAGCAGCTGCGCTGGATACAGATGCCCCTGTTGGGCAAGCCTAGTGGAGGCAACCGCCTTATAATTCTTTATGCGGGTATGTATAGGATTTGGCAGAGGGCCAGTCGCGTCATCGTTCAGAGCATGCATGATACGCTGGATCGAGGATACTGGGGCGCATGCAAAGGACGATCGGCAATAGACTGCGCATGGGCGCAAGCAGTACGGTCAGAATCTGATCAAATGACGCACAGATATGGTATTGTTTTCATTGCTGACTGGTCTAAGTACTACGAGACCATTCCCCTGGAAGTTCTGAAGTTGAAGTTTCTTCGTCATGGAGCGCCCACGTGCTGGCTCAAACTGGTATTCAATATGTGGCTGGGCCCCAGAGTGATCAGACTTGGTCGACACCACTCAGATGAAGCTCTCTGTGCTCGGCTCGGATTACCAGCTGGTGATGCTTACGCTGATTTAGCCGTCAAAGTCAACGCCGTGGACGCTTTCGACATGATGATAACTAAGTCGCCGTTGTTTGATTTCCAGAATTACATTGACGATTCAGGCATACACAATTCCTCATCTGATTTCGACATAGCGAAAGGTACGGCAGTTGAGGCTATCCAGCATTTCTTCGAGGCCAGCAGGCAGATCAACGCTACCCTGAACGCCGAGGAGCTCGTGATCATCTCGACGCACCAGGTCTTGGCTGCAGCCGTGTGCGATGAGCTCGAGCTTCCGAGGTCGGTGATCAAGCCCAGCGTGTCCTACCGTGGCGTGGACGAGTCTGATGGTGCAGTACGGCGACGACAACGAGTGCGACTGAAGCAGCAGTCGAGGTTTGTTGCGATGAGAAAAAGGATCCGAAAGGTGCGAGCCATGAGGAAAGGGTTCAAAGGTCCCAATGAGATCCCATTCAGGAAGATAAATCGCCAGGGTGTGGCCCCTGCGAGCAGTTTTGGAATTGAGATCCAGGGACTTTCTGGGTCTGAGTGGCTAGCACACCAGCGTTTGATGAGTAGTTCCGAGTCTCCCTCGCATGGAGGAGTTTCACTTTCAGCTAAGGTTGTGTTAAACGGTGATAGTAGCACGAGATTCGCAGTGGCGCCCACAATCCAATGGTGCAGGATGGTGTGGTCAGCTGCGACTCGCCCAGAGCACGCCCTTGTTAAGATGGCTGAGCTCGTGCACCTCTGGGAATTATGTCGGCCCGCCAGTTGTAAAACTTGGCAAGAGTCCAGGGGCCCGATTTCTCGTGCTTGTTTGAGTTTGGCCCGTGCGGGTTGGAAGCACCGTGGCCCCCTAAAGTGGGTAGACCACAATGGACACGATGTTGATTTAACGCAGACCCCGCCGTCGTTTTTTAAAGGCATGCTTGAGCTCGGAGTTCGAAGGCAACGCGAGTTTCGGTTGGCCCAGAAGCTGGGTTTCGAACCTGGGACGCGTGCCACGCTGGACCTAGTTCGAAAAGCTGTCTCTCCGAAAGCCAAGCGCCTGAGTAGGTATCAGAAGTATCTAATAAAGAGCTGCGGTTGCCTAGGATTGTGGACTAACGATCGTGCTGCGAGGGCGGGTTACGTGTGTGACGGGTTGTGCGAGTGTGGTGAAAGGGACACAATCCACCACAGGCTCTATTGTTGTCAGTTACCCAAATTTTCAGATGCCCGTCAGGCCGCCGAGGTCTCTCCCGAGTTCCTGGCAGCGGCCCGAACGGAGCCCGAAAATCTGATTTTCACCACTGGCATTTTCAAGTACCAGGACAGTGCGTTGAATGTGCCGCTTCGACTGGCCTCGGATGGATCAGGAAGCACACCGTTGTTGAGGCCGCTGGAGAGAGCTTCCTGGTCCATCGGAGTCCTCCCTGACATCGGGGAAGATCCAGTAGCTTTTCTCCGCGGAATGGTGCCTGGCATGTTTCCGCAGACTCCCGCCATGGCGGAACACGTAGGCATCGCACTGTGTGGCCAAGTGGCAAGCAGGCCCGCCGAATTAGGTTCAGATTGCAAGGCCGCCATCCGTGTCACTCAGCAAGACGTTTCGAGGCAGCTAGCGGCAGGAAACAAATTTGCAGGCATAAGACTTTTGGCGCAGGGTTTGGAGGGAACGCCTTTTATACATACCGTGCGTCACGTGAAGGCGCACAGGTCCGAAGAAGAAATGGCGCTGCTCGAAGGCGAGGAAAGGCTTTTTGCCGTGGCCAACGCAGCCGTTCACAGGCAGGCTAAAGCAGCGCTATCCCTCCACCCTGCACCAGACGCGGATTTCCTCTCTGATGTGAACCTCGCAGCCACCCGTGCGCAGAATGTCATTAAATTAGCCGCTGAGGTCCTCCCGCTTTTCCCCAATGAGGTTAAGTGGAAAAGACCTGTGCGGATCAGAGCAGGCCGCTCAAAGCGGACTGTTTACTGGCACTGCTGGAAGCATGGCGAATTAGGTTTGCAGTGCACCAGATGTCTGCTGGTGGCAGAAGGATCGCCAGATGGAGTCCCAATGAGTGGCTGCAAAGGCGTTCCTAGTCACATCAGTCGACTGCTCTCGAATCCCTTGGGGCATTCCCTCATTGCCACGGCTGGTTTGGCTCGGGAAACTGGCGACGGCGCCTCGGTGGGTCAAGTTCGAGAGCAAACCATTGTATGTTTGAAATGTGGAGGGTGGTCTCAAGCAAAGCTTGAGAAATTAGGCCGTCCCTGTGTTGCCCCCACTCGTAAAGGTCTAGAGGTGATCTCCATGGTGAGGCAAGGGCGGTGCCCGAATCGTCGCGTCTGGGCCTTGATTGATAAGGCTCTCCCCGTTTCTCGGCTGCGCCGCGACCCGCCCGAGCCCCATGACACCTCTGACACGAATGTCCGTACGAGTTTTTCGGCCACAGAGACGGCCCCCTCCTATGAGCAAAGAATGAATGCTTTGGCCGAGCGAATTCGAGTGAAGGAGAGCACCCGAGATGCTCGATCCAGGGGATAGTTTCGGGAGTTTTCAAAGGGCTTCCCTCTTTTTTAACTCCCTCATCCCCGATTCGTATCCCAGTTATATCAAGCTGAGATTATTTAGTGCTGTGCACTCCCCCATAGGGCATTCCATTCCATTCCATTCCCTCCTCCCTCCTCCCTCTTCCCTCATCCCCCCTCTCTTCTCCCTTCTCCCTCCTCCCTCTTCCCTCCTCCCCCCTCCCGCGAGAGACGAGCAGCGGTATCGGTGCTCTTTCCTGGACCCTGAGCCTGAAGGTGGAGGCGAACTGGCCGAAGTCGGCTCTGCTCGCGGTGGCCAGATTCCCGCGGTGCGTGACCGATGCGATGGTCGGGCGTTGCTGGAAGTGGCCCTGGCCCAAGGTGACCCCAACGATAAACTGTTTTGCATTATTTCTGGTAATTTTCGCTGCCGGGGGGGAAGGGGCCTGGGAAACCTTGACGCTTGGAAGGGGTTGTGGGGGGTTCGCCCCCACCCCCCCCCACGCACGATCTTTCGCCCGCAAGCGGGCAGGGTTGGCCCGGTCAACGACCAGTACGCGCCAGGGGATGAAACACGTTTCCACAGGCGCAGGAAGCTCCCAGAGCACCCCATCACGAGGTCCAGG